CGTACAGGGTCAAAAAGGGATTAATTTGTGAATTTATGATTGCTTACATAGCTAATGTAAGAATTGCTTGGTTGCAACCTGTGACACACAAAATTTTTTAGGTCATTAAATGTGTTGAAGCTGTTACCAGGCTAAAAGGACTATTCTTGTCTCTAAATGTTCAGAGCTAGACAGTATTTGGAAATAGGATATTCAGTTACATGAGTTTTTGGTTGATATAGTACAATGATTTGTATTGTTGTAGTTAAAGATAGAAAAAAACAGCACCGACAACTGGGTTGAGAAAGCCAAGATTTTCAAATATCACAAATGATTTAATGTTTACTAGTTCTTTGCTTCCGAACATAAAAAGATTCAGAGATTGAGTGAGCTGCAATCTCTGTGAATCTGTTTCAAATGTATCCAAGGTTAACACCCCACAATGAGGATACTTGAAATTGCTTAGGGACAGGGTTGTCACTGGGGTGTTGGGAGGTAGACACATGACAGCTTTGAAAAGAACAGAATATAACACTTCTCTGAGTGACTGTAGGCATGTCACTTGCAAAGAACCATATGTTACATCTTTTACTCATACTGGTGACTTTCTGGTTACACATGATCCGCTTGAGATAGATTAACAGAGAGTTTTGTGGCAAGTAAATGGTGCAGTGTAATGCTGCCAGAAAAAATAAATCACACCAGTGCACAGAAGTAACTAATAAAATAGCATAGCAGTGATCAATTAATAATAAAGTGATTTTAGATGTTTGGGATGGAAAAACATTTTGGAAGGACAAATGGACAAGATAAACCTGGCAAACACTGAGAATGGAAAATGCTATCTGGAAGTAGAACATACAGCAACTGTATAAGGGGGATGGCAAGTATCTGCTAAGGCAAGAATCTGGTGATGAAGGAGAAGACAACATGCACCCTGTGCCCCTGTCTCTTGCAGGTTGCTTTTGTGCATAAGTTTCTGTTACATATTTTAATGTTCCTGCTAGCTCTGCAGTACCTGCATCTGTCTTTATGATTTAATGAAAGTTTTAAGATTGGTTTAAATTTAGTGAGAGAGATGACTAGGGACAATAGGTACCAAAGATCATCAGATCACTTCTCTGGGGACTGAATTCATGACCTTTACCTTCAAATACAGAAAGCTACCTCTTTTGGGGAGCTAAAAAACCACCTTCATAATTTGAACTGTTGGGAAGAGCTCACCTGCAGAAGGCGTAATCTCTGCTCAAGAGACGGATAGTTTTTGGTTCATGTGGGTGCAGACCCAGAAATCAGAGCTTCAAAAAAATTACCTGCTCAGGGTATTTCAGACCTCTCTACATGTATTTTTTCATCTCTCTCCACAATGTAAAAATGCAGTGTTGCTTCTTGAGCACGTTTGGAATTTTTTATCATCTGTCCAAACAGAAGATGTGATCATCGTGGGAGAGAGGGAAGGAATAATAGAAGAAAATCTGCTCAGACTAGATAATAATGAAGATTATATCTCCACAAACTAATAGGATTTCAGCTAAGAATCTGAATAGGATGCAATCAAAATAATGTTAAAAAGTTAAGCTTTTCCACTGATTTCTAACAAGGTGTAAGAAACCTGTTCTTGTAAAATGGGCTGTAAATGCTGTTGCTTCTGATGCTTCCCTACTGCTTTTTTCAAGGGCTGTCTCACTACTAAAAATATTTTAGCCTGCATCAAAATGCACCAATAAAAATAACATACCTATTATTGCTATATATGCTATTATAAGATATTAAATGTATCTTTCTTTCCATCGTTTCCCTTCCCTGAACTGTAATGATAGGTAAGAAATACTAATTGATTTACTTTACTTACAGAACACTTTAATGCAAGATAAGTGGCGGCTGCATTTACTAGGTTATGACATTAATATTTCCTCAGCACTGGTTGGAATGGCATCTTACTACAGTAGTGCAGTTGGGGGCAATGCATATTGAAGCCTGTGATACATAAAAATTTTAAGAAATTATTTTTTCCATTATCTAGAGTGAAACAGAAGTGAAATAATTTGCATAGTATGACATAGCAGATCAGTATCAGGACAAGGATAAAATCAGACACCTAGTTTAATGACCTGCACAGTAGACTGTAATGCCTCAAGCTTCAACACCTGAAGCAGAGCTTTGAAAAACACCTCTGTGATTTAAGAGAACAAATTTCATAGACCTTATGTGCCCCTATAATTTAAATGTTCAAAAAAAGAACAGTTTAGTTTTTTTATCACCCAGTTTACTCCCTGACTATAATGTGAGTCTGGCAGCATTTCTCTTGCCCTGTTGTTGCTTTTCCTGTTTTTGTTCCAATTAAATTACAAAAACGGACTGCTATGTGTTTGTATAATACCTTGCACAAAGTGGTCTCATCTGGATTTTGATACTGTACAATAAATCAAAATGACAAAACCAATTTCGAAACGGCATACACTTGGATACCTCCAACTTCATATAAACTCATAAAAGAAGACTTCTAAAGAGATCAGTCCAGAATGTTATTACCAGAGACATGAAAGTAAGCATATTTTTCATGTATTAAAGCATCTGGAGGTTTTGCTATGAAGTCAGACAGTCTTAACACTAGCTTCAGTAGAATCAAAGCTCAAATGAGGAGACAGGGAATTGCTGTTCTGCTGTTGAGGAGTGCAGCTTTGGTAGTAGGAGAATGTAGTTATAAATGAAATTATATTTTAAACATCGTCAGAAAACTGTTTGGAGCAAAGGGCTAATGAACTATTAATGGTTACTGTAATAAAAGGTTAATCCATTACATGCTGTTACAAGCAACCCATTAGGCCTGTGAGACACATTAGCTGTCTTTTTTCAAACCGTTATGTCACTTACGGATGTGCTGATAGTCGTTAGTAACAAGTACTCTTCATATTTGTTTATAAAAGCAGTTTGTTGTTTGTTAATATTTTATAAAGTTCTGTGGAAAGTATGACATATTAATGGTTGTTACTCATCCTTTATCTGGATTGATTTCAGGTAAGTTTTGCTTTAAATTGAGAAGTACAAAGCTAAGCCCTGGATTCTGCCTAAATTGCCAGGGCTGAAGAATTTGTATTTTGTGACTGCAGACAGAGTTTACAAATATTAAAGCAAGTCTAGATAACACTATTATTGAAGATTTCAGTGATGCGCACTTACTGCTGTTAGTTGCTACAAGATGTGGAGCAGTAACACTGAAGTACAAGGATAGGAAAGAAATGATGCTGCAGACAAATGTTTGTTGCAGACCAAGCAGGCTAATTGATTTATGTGGTGGAGCTGTACTAGTATATTCTGTCAATATTTTGTCTTTTATAAAGCTTGAAATTGTTCATTGAATGGTTTGTCTAGCAAACTTTCCTGTATTAATATTTTTCCTTAAAATGTAAATGTATACTCTTTTTCCCATTCAAATACCTTGTGCTATATTTTCTAATTTCCAAATGAGTTCTCTTGGGCTAGTCTCCTGTAGTGTATCGCTGGGGAAGTACTTAGAAATTGGCCAAAATTTCAGTGGGTTTTCAGAGGCTAAGAAGACTGAGGAGGCAGTTTGTTTTTGAGCTTCATTGGCAGAGTTTACTGCAGCTTCTATTGGCATGTTTTTTCTATGTGTTTGAGTATCTGTAGTTTTTACTGTTTCTATGGAGTACCAACTGATGGAAAGGAAGAAGTCAATTCTGCCTTTTGGCAGGACAGTTGCCTGCTTTCTCTCTTGAATACTGGATCTTGCTATGAATTTCAAATACTATACTCACTATTCATTTAAAAATAACCATCCCAAACCCTAAGACAAATCACCTCCTTTTGCTTCTAGTGAGATGTTGAAATGTCCATTGAAGATATTGCAGGGTTTGACTCACGCTCACACGTGGGCGCTTCAAAGTTTTGAGTCCTGGTATCTGCTGTGCTTTCTGCACCCAGACAGGGTAAACCCTAGCGTAGTGGTCTGCTGTGCAGGGTGACTACGTGCTACAGTCTGTGTGATCCACAGCACTTCTTACTTCTTGCTTTCTCTGGGTAATAAGTACTTAAAATATTTTTTTTATTAGGCTGTGGGACCTGGGGAGGCAGTGGATGGATACTGGGGCTTGCTGGTGTGGATGCAAGCACCAGTTAGCTATTAATAACATAACCTCCCCGGGGAGAGGGCACGCAAACAGGCTAAAAGACAAACGTACTGTAATAGTGGGTGGTCGCTGCGTTATCTGAGCTGCGGAGCCGACAGCTCCGGTGAGCCAAGGCCTGTCTCTGGTTTCACCCCTCCAGGCCAATGGCTGACTGGCTGGGGGAGAACGCATCTTCACGATACCGGCGGCTCCCTCCAGCCAAGCAGCAGAGCGTTCACCTCGCAGCGAACGGGAGCTGGCTGCTGCTTCTTCCTAGCCA